CAGCACACGCTGGCCCAACTAACCAATCACAGCACACACTGGCCCAGCTAACCAATCACAGCACACACTGGCCCAGCTAACCAATCACAGCACACACTGGCCCAACTAACCAATCACAGCACATTTAGTATTTCAGAAGGCGGGCCTTCATTTGATACAGGAACTATTCGAGCCGTTCATGCCAGACTGGGGAGAGAGGTGTTGTAATAATGTAAAATATGTGAAAAATAATGTGTTTTTCGAACAACCTAGTATGAGAGCCTGTTCTAGTACACCCCCAACACAAAATCAAGACTTTGTAAAAGAGCATAATAGGACCCCTTTAAAGTTTCTAGAGGTTAATGATGTTATTAAACTACTATAAGAAATACTGAATATAATGTATATTGGGGCAAATATTTACTAGTCCTCATAATGGTTGATTTCACCAGTAGATTAGATTTAAATAAATAATATATTAAGTATTTTACTGGATATGCACTCTTAAAATATTTTGAGTGAATACAATCACTCATAATCTGTTATATGCTGAAAAAATGATATTGTTAAATTGTCAAAACATGAAGTAATGTATAACATTTAAAATGTATATAATCTTTCATTGATTACACACTGATTCAGTGACAATGTGCATTATTTACAGGTAATTTTTATTCTTTTACTGATTTACACTATTTACATCATGATTTTTTATGGATTTACACTGCAGAAGCATTGGTAAAATGCCACAAATATTGCATTTTAGGCCACAAAAATCAGTCCTTTTATGATAAACTGTAATTTTCATTGGTATTGATGTCCAGAAATGCTGTCTAGGTAGGCAGCTCTCTAGGTTTTGAGATGCAGCCGTAGTCTTTGACAAACAATGATATTTGTGTTGGCTAATTTGTTTCATAGTGAGTAAACCATCTGCCTCTCTCCACCAGATAATGCTGAAATACAAGGACAAGAAATGGTACCAGCTCTGAGGTCCCTGCAGGGCGTCAGCGGACCTTCCTATGAAGACAGCAGATCCATCATCTCTCCTCCATTTCTTCCTTCTCTTTCTCTGTGATGTCCAGAGACTGCCACTCGCGCTCAGCTCAACGTCACGCGGCATTACCTCGAGCTGAGGAGCTGCAGAGGAGACAGGAGGGGAAGGAACAGGACAGGCGAAATGCATCAGGACGGGATTTCCTTCCCTTCTCGGTGGCAGTTTCCTCTCCTGAAAACAAAGCCGTGGATCTTGTCTTGGGAGAGGAGGCCCATCACCGGTGCTGCCCCCCGTCTTATACCTTCATCCGCCATGCTGTAATTTTCACTGCCATTCTGTCTGCAAAGAAAATACCGAAAGGACATTTTGGGAAATTAAAGATTTAAGATGAATGAAATGAGCCAGAGGGACATAGAGCTGACAAAAGAAAGTCTAACGTCTGCAGCATTGCCAAGCTTAATGCTTCTGATAATCTGTCACTAGAGCAAGAATAGGTTGCATGTCTAGTGATTTCATTTAGGAAATTAGTGCTTTTTCTTGTTTTTGGAATTGGGATGAATCTCATCTAGCTAATAGTTCACCCCAAAATCAAGATTTTTGTTGAAAAATTACATAAATTAGATTTTAGGTTGAAGCATAACTAGATTTCATGAGATTCACCCAGTAATCATGTTAGCTATGGAAAAGGCCGGATTGTCTTATGTAAGGTGCGATGAAGTACCATTTAATTTCACCTCTAAAGGGCTGGAAGTTGCTGTATTTGCCACATATCATGTGATTATTTTGCCATATGAAATTGCAGACGGGCCTGGGCAGCAAAGCTGATCTGATGCATCATGCATCATTTTGTTGTTCTTTCGTCTAAAGGACATATTGGTTTACACTGATCAGGTCTCAAAAGAGCTTTTAGGGAAGAGCTCTGACTCTGATGTACACTATACGCTGTGTTGACACTGGAGAAAGATGTTCATTTTAAGTATATATAAAGATCTAATTAGCGTGACTGTCTAAAAGCGTGTCTGGCTCATAATGCACACCAACATCAAAAGAAAAAGTAATATTTTGCATGAAGACAAAAGTTTTTTTGCATTGTGCTTAGAAAAAAACACTGTAATACAATTGTATTTTTGTTTAAATCGGCATACATTAAAGACAGTACAAATACCACTATGATATATAAATATTTGTCAATTTAAATGTTTCTTTTTTACATTTTGGTACATTTATTTATTTTGTTTCATTACAGAATTAAAATGTGCCTAATTATTCACAATGCAAAAAATTGGTTTAATTTTCTGTAAACTGTTATGTTTCTAAGTTCTCAGATTTTTTGGGGGGCGAAATATGACCCAGACATGCTTTTAAAAGGTTTTACCAGTGCTGAATATTTGCTGGTTATGTACAAACAGAGATCTGGAGCACGTAAATGATTTTTGATCTACAGGAGCAGGATATTTTTATCACGAAGGAGTGCGAGTGAGAGTTGGGAAGTGTGAGGCATGATCTTGATTATGTGCCTTGTGATGAATGTCTCCGGAAACGAGGGACACCGGTGGAATGTGCCGAGAGTACGGATTCTTCATATGCAAAACCGGTTCCTCCTCATTTCCCATGATGCAACTGCTCCTGGACGAGGAAATCTCTAGGCTTATGCCAGACTCAGTACAGTACCTGGTGACTTCCTCCTCTGAAGTACATGAGGAATGGATTTCTCTGTGTATTTTCTAAGAAGCCTTTTTCGGATGGACTATTGCATGAGTTTGTCATCCTCACAGAGATGTGAATATATCTATCTCTGTGTTCGTTGCTGCAGTGGAGGTGACCACTAAATGTTCAGTGCAACTCCATACTCTCGATCAGCAGCCCTCGGATGGGCGTTACCTTCTGCCTTTGCTTTGCGACCCATGAATATATGCTAACCTCGACTCGTGTGCGTATACGTGTGTTCCTGAACATACATGTATGCAAGAATATGTGTATGCTCACGTTTATATAAACTAAAGATACAATATATTTGAAAGCATATGTTGGGATGTTTTCTTTAAGTGGGTTTTCTTATTTATGAGGTGTAAGAAATTGCTGCTATTTGTGTTTAAAATTAGAAGCATCTGTCAAATCTGTTGATGCTTGTTATTTTCCTTCCAGGCATATGAAAGAGTTCTCCCGAAAATGAAGATTTGCTGAAAACGTACTCATCCTCAGGCCATCCAAGATGCAGATGAGTTTGTTTCTTCATGTGAACAGATTTGGAGTAATTTAGCATTACATCACTTGCTAAAGTGAATGGGTGCCGTCAGAATGAGAGTCCAAACAGCTGATAAAAACATTACCGTAATCCACAAGAGTCCAGTCCACCACTTAATGTTTTATGAAGTAAAAAGCTGTGTGTTTGTGAGAAACAAATGCATCTTTAAAGCGTTTTCACTATAAACCATTGCTTCTGACAAAAAATAGATCCATAATAATGCTTCCTCCACTGAAAAAGTCCATCCCAGTTGTTCTCTCGCATCAAATTCCACCCACATATTTGTTTAGAGCTGTTCTGAACTGTTTTCACTTGTAAATAAATAGTGCCTGATTTGTGCATATTTTTCTCCTGATTCAGGCAAGGCGACTTTTTCACTGGAAAAAGCAAAATTATGGACTCGTATTTTAGCCAGAATGATGGATTTGTTTCTTACAAACGCATAGTTTTTCGCTTCAGAAGATGTTAGCGATGGACTGGAGTGGTGTGGATTATTGTGATGTTTTTAATCAGCTGTTTTGACTCTCATTCTGACGGCACCCATTCACTGCAGAGCGTCCATTGGTGTGCAAGTGATGCAATTTCTCCAAATCTGTTCTTATGAACAAACAATCAAACAAAAGGATTAGTACATTTTCAGCAAATTTTCATTTTTGGGTGAACTATTCCATGAAGGCTTTTCTGTTTGTTTGTCACATTGCTGCCAAATGTTGTAAATTTGAATATTTCTGAAGACAAACTTGAGAGTGCTGATGCAGTCAAAGTTACTGAAGATGATGGCCGTGATCTGACCGGACTCCAAAGAGTTGCTCTGCTGTGAAAGTTGATCTCACAGAGAGGAGAGGATGTTCCTTATCATTTAAAACATCAGTCTCATGGCATCTCTATACATATAGATAGATAGACATAGCAAACTACTCCTTCTGTTGCCATGGTGTTTGTGTAAATATCTACCAAAATTGCAAATTTCAATGTTGACAAACTGAAAATCTAATCCAGCTTCTTATATTTTTCTTTTCTATGAGCAGTTGTGTGGTTTTGCACTGTGTTTTATATTGTAATGACATCAAAAACATTTTTATAGTTGGTTTTGGTCTTTATTTTGGACATTTTGTTTCTTTAAGAAGGACCAAAATTAGACCGATGCTGTGTGTAAATGTGGCTCACACTCTCGGATTTGTCCTCATTGTCAGTTTAATGATATTCTAATATATTTATACATTTGAATTCTTTAGATCACCGCATGATGTGTTGCTCTTTAAGCATGCTTCACTTTGTCAGACAGGTTCTATTGAAGTGATTTCTTGATTCAACAGGTCTGGCAGTAATCAGGTCTGGGTGTGGCGAGTGAAATTTAACTCCGCTTTATAAAATAATGTGTTTAATCACAGTTCTTTCATGATTTAACAGGAGGGGGCAATTCATTTTTCACGTAGGGCCAGGCAGGTTCAGACAGCTTTTTTCCCTTAATAAATGAAATCATCATTTAAAAACTGCATTTTGTATTTACTTGCATTATCTTTGTGTACTATTAAAATTTGTTTGATGATCTGAATCTTTTAAGTGTGACAAATATGCAAAAAATAAAAAAAACAGGAAGGGGGCAAAAACCTTTTCACACCACTGTATATATATAATTGACTTTGAATTCAATGAATACGAAAGGGTGCATTTTAAGATGAACTGGCTGTGTATATATTCTGGCTGAATCAAACATGAAATCTTTTCTGGTGAGCCATCTGCTTGGTCGTCTGTGGAAGAGGGAAAGTCGACCTGAAGAATCTCTGAAATCACTGGCTGTCTCTGTGTACTGTTTGTCCTCTGATTTCTCTTGCACAAAAGGCAGCATGATATCGTGTTTAGAAACTTGAAACATCCATCTACATTATATTTTGGCTCTTTTTCTTTAGTCCTGCTAGTGAGATGTATTTACTCTCTATTATTGATGATTATGAAGGCGAGATATTTTTCTTCTGATAGTATACTCACAGCATTGTTATTTGAGTTTCCCTGAACATTATTGCTGTAGAAAAAAAATAGTTGAGTGAAATAGTGTCCTGAAAAGGGTCGGTTTTGGGGAAGATTCTCCGTGGGGCTGCGGGTTTTCTCATCACTGTCGACTTATTGTACAGTTTCATTATTCAGACTTTCACATGAATGTTTGTCTTAATCTGCAGCCACCCAACAGTTTAGGAAACATGGTTATAGACATAACTGTGCAATGGAAAATAAATGTAACAAAGATTTCTTTACAGCCGTTTTGATTCCACACTTCATGGCCACTAGATGTCAGTTTTACAACTTGAACTCTCAATTTGGAAGAAATAATTACTTATAATAAATAACTTCAATATAAATAACTAGAATATAGAAAATAAAACTAGAAAACAAAAACCAGACAAACATGTATTTTTCTGCAACACACACATTTATATATTTATCAAACTGAACAGGTGTTTTATACACGTTTTTTAGTGATGCATACCTGATTAAACAATTTGATTCTATTTATAATTTCAGTATTACATAATCATTATACAATATATATGCAGTGTTTCTGGATTTTGTTTTACCCTTTAAAAAAAATTGCTGTCAAACTATTAATCGCATCCAAAATAAGTTTTAGTTTACATAATATATGTGTGTATACTGTGTATATTTATTATGTATATATAAATACACACACATACAGTATATATTTCAAAAATATATCAATGTATATATTTATATTAATATAATTGATATTATATACAGATATTTTAAGTGCATAAATATAACATATTTTTCTTAAATATATAGGCTACGTGCATGTGTGTGTGTATTTATATATATATATATATATATATACACACAATAAATATACACAGTACACACACATATATTATGTAAGCAAAAACTTATTTTGGATGCGATTAGAATGTAATAAAAGCTAACATTAAATATCGATAAATAATTGATTTAACAAGTGATGTAATTCCAATTATGTTAATTCTCTACAAAATTGTTACGATAATACTTAGTTTTATTTAGTAAAAGTGTAATATTTATAGATTATGCCTGTTTAAAAAATATAATCTGTGTATAAATTGCAGCTAAAACTGGCAAAAATTCTGCTTGCGTGTTCTTTAATATTAGGTTATTTGGCTGACTGATAATGCCTTACAAATGGAAAAAACGTTATATATATATATATCCTCCTGAGACCCAGCTATGGAGTTTTTGCCTCTGTAGTGGACATTATATTTGAGTGAATTTCTCTGAGACCTCACATGTCACAGTTTTAATTCTGGATGTCCTGTACAGAGCAGATTCAGGGCTTTCCACAGATACCAAATGATTGGATGTTTCACCGAGACCACTCCCTCTCCTTGGTTTTTAAAAATGGCTGACATTAATTTAGTGATACAATTGTACATCCTTATGGAAATATGATAATATTTTGTAATTATAATTTAAATCTGACTAATTTTCTAATTGTTTGTCATAAATCAACATCTCAGGAAAATGTTATGGGGTTTCAAATCAAAATATGAC